TAAGCTATGATCTTCCTCCGTTATCCTTTGTTGGAGTCCATCCACCCTTGGTAGACATAATCTACCTTGATACTTCAACACACCATTTTTCCCTTGTTCAAAAGTCAATACTCTTTTCTTATGAACATTCAACTTTAAGTCAAATTGAATGGGGTCATGGTCTTGCTTATCTTTCACCTTTGATACTAATAATGACTATGCCCTATTGGTCACCATTATGCCTCCTTTTGTGGAGTCCGAGACTCTACTCCCAAACGTGCAAGTCTGTGTACATATTTTGCTAACTCCATCTTTCCTTCTTCAACATGGGAAATACTTCTCATAGACAACATGCTTAAGGCATCAGCAACTATATTAGCCTTACCTGGGTGATATAGAATACTCATTTCATAATCTTTGAGTTATTCCAACCACCTGCTCTCTTTGTAATTGAGTTTTTTCTGAGTGAATACATATTAAAGGATCTTGTGGTCAGTGAATATGTCAACATGCACATCATACAGGTAGTGGCGCCACATCTTCAAAGTAAACACTATGCATCCAATTCCAAGTTATGAGTTGAATAATTCTTTTCATGAACCTTCAACTGTCTAGAGGCATAATCTATAACATTTCCATTCTGCATCAATACACATTCCAAACCAAGTCTTGATGAATTATAATACACCACAAAAACTTGAGTTCCTTCCGTTCATGTAAAAACCAGACGATCGTCAATCTCTTTTTCAACTCTTGAAAACTTTTCTCAAAAGCTTTAGACCATTGAAATTGGTTGTCTTCTGAGTTAGCTTGGTCAAAGGAGATGAGATATATGACAATCCTTCAACAAATATCCTATAATAGCTAGCCAAACCAAAGAAACTCCTTATATCCATTCGAGATATGGGTCTAGGACAACTTTGAACTACTTCGATCATCTGAGTGTCAAATCTAATCCCTTATCAAAAAATAATGTGACCCAAGAAAGACATAGACTTAAGTAAAAACTCATACTTGGATAACTTGGCATATAACTCGTTATCCTTCTAGGTTGGCATAACAAATCTTAGGTGACTATCATGATCTTCTTCATTCCTTGAATAAATCAGTATGTCATCAACGAAGATGATGACAAACAAATATAAATAAGGTTTGAAGACTCTGTTCATAAGATCCATGAACATTGCAGGTGCATTTTTCAAACCAACAGACATAACAAAAAATTCATAATGTTCATACCTTGTTCTAAGAGTTATCTTTGGAATATCACATTCCCTTACTTTAACTGATGATAGCCTTATCTGAAGTCAATCTTGGGAAAACAAGAAACACCCTAAATTTGGTTGAAAAGATAGTATATCCTTGAAAGAGGATATTTATTCTTGATTGTCACCTTATTCAATTGGCGGTAGTCTATACACATCCTAAGGAAACCATTTTTTCTTCCTTTCAAACATGACTGGAACTCCTTAAGGCGAGACACTTATTCAACAAATCTTTCAATTGCTCTTTTCACTCTTTTAACTCTGCTGGTGCCATTATGTATGGTGGAATAGATACAGAACGAGTATTCGGTATGACTTCTATGCCGAAATCTATCTTTCTTTAGGGAGAGACTCCAGGTAGATTATTAGGAAAAACTTCTGGAAACTCACTGACTATAGGCACTATCTGAAGGGAAGGTACCTCAACAATTCAGTTATTAACTCGGACTAAGTGATAGATACATCCCTTGAGACTAACTTCCTCGTCTTAAGGTAAGAAATAAAATGACACTTAGGCAATGTTGAACTACTAATCCATTCTATGTCAGGCTCATTAGGTATTTGAAAGTTGACAACTCTAGTTTTGCAGTTTATTGATGTATAACGGGCATAGAGCCAGTCCACACCTAGAAGGACATCAAAATCTATTATGTCTAGCTCTATTAAATCATCCATAATACTCTTGTGATTATTGGAAATAGGACAATCACGATAAACTTTTTCCACTTGAATGGATTCCTAACCAGTATAGAAACACATAAGGGTTCACAAAGTTTTTAAGGAAGAATCTCAAACTGATTTGCAACATTAGGAGTTACAAAGTATAAAAATTTCTCTTCATCCTAACAAATCATAAACATTGAAAGTAAAGACTTTGGTCATACCCGTTATAACATCTGGAGAGTTCTCTTGCTCTTGGCGACTAGTGATTGCATAGAGACGGTTTCCCCTCTGCAAGTACCAGAAGTGGCTCCTCTAGGTGAATCCCTATAAGGTCGAGCAACTGATGAAGATTGAGCTCTATTTCTCGGATTTCTACCACGTTTCTTAGTCTTAGGTCACTCTCTCATGAAGTGATCCTCTCGACCACAGTCGAAACAACCTATCTGGCTATCACGACATTTACCCGGGTGTGTTCTACCATATTTACCACATGTAGAAATCCCACTACCTCCTTGTGACATACTACCTTGGGATTGGGCTGGTCTAGCCTTGAAGTTTTGTGAATTCTTGCCATTATACCACTTTTCTATTGTCCAAAATAACTCCGAGTCTTCGCTTTGTTATTTTTGTATTGCTCACTATCCTTCAACTTCTCCTTTTAAACTTGTTGAACATAAACCATAAGTCTTGATATGTCCATGTCAACAATCAGCATTGCAGCCCAACTTTCTTTGGTTGAAGCACAACCCAACCCGATGACAAACAAACTCATTCTGCTCCCCATGTCCTTCACCATCTTCAGAGAATAGCAAGGCAGTTGGGTGAACTTCAACCCATTCTTATGAACACTCATAGAGTCCTATTTAAAAGTGAGGAACTCCCGTACCTTTTCTTCCTTCATTTCTCAAGGAAAGAACCTCCCAAGAAGGTTTCTTCGAAACAATCCAAACTTGGAGGTGGTGTGTCCTCAGCTCTGTCGTCCTTCAATTTTTCAAACCAGGTTCTAGCATCACACTTCAGTTGATATGAGTATTAACCACATGCATCACCTCAAACAGTTTCTTCGATTCTTCTACAAAGTTTTCCAAATTCTCTGTAGTGCTTTGTCCAGTGAAGCTAGGAGGATTCATTCTTTAAATCTCACAAACCCTAGAGGTGTGATCCACCTCTTGTTGAGCTCCTCTCTGTTGCCCGACTTAGTTGGTTATTACTTGACTTATCATTCGTATAGCTTGATATAACTCAATATTAGTAACCTCTCCTTGTGGTTTCACATCCGTTGCATTTCCTTCATATTTCTCCTGGATGGTCGACCTCTGACTACTCTTCGTGGAGGCAGGCTATCTGAAACACGTGCAAGCATGGATTATAGAGAGACTTTTTCAGAGATAAATTCTAATGCACAAAAAGAATGTGAAGAAGTGAAATGTTCTTAAATGTTGTAGCCTCCTAATCATAGATGTTGCACACTTCACACTGATGAATAAGACTCTATAGAAGCAACTTCATAGACTCCCTAGGACTCTTCAACTCTGTACTGTGATACCAAGTTTGTCACAGCCAGAGCCTACACCCCTGGACGTGGCCGGCACTCGAAGACTATTGTTGGCCCCTAAGAGAGCCCTTGTCCTAGATTACTTAACTCAGCAGAAGACTCAACTAAACTCAATCATGAAATAGAGCATGTTTTAAAGAAATACTTAGCGTATCAAGCTGACCAAAATGGAACTTAAGTCTTAATACTTGAATACATGAAATATAAGATAAATTTGACTCCAAAGCTGAACTACTAACTGTCCACGAAGCCTCTAAATTGATTAACATGGATGTTGGGATAGACCCACAACATGATAATGAACTTATCTAGAAAAACAGTAAAAGGGAATGTCCTCTAGAATGCAAGGAGGCTCACCAAGTAACGGTTCTCTATGTGCTGATCCTTATTACTTGCATCTGTATTATGAAACTGTGCAAGTTAATTGGCATCAATACATTGAATGTTCGAGTATGCAAGTTGGAAAGCTAAACGACGACTTAAGCTTGAGAGAATTAAGATGACTTACCTTGGTTCTGCTCTACTCAAGAATATGCATAACTTAAAGTATGAATATAAAGCAATTTAAAATACATGTGATATATATAAAGCTTGTAAAACAATAAAACAACTTATTTCGATACAAATGCAATAAAAAAATTCAAGTTTACTTATATATGAAAATAATATAACTTTTGAGGTACATTCTCTAATCAAAAACCATCACTTTAAGCCCAAGTGAGGATACAATGCTTTACCTCATGTTGCCCAAGGACCATATCATACCTTGCCATCGGTATAGGACCTTACTTACTTAGTATATCGAATAGATAAACTTACTTGGTCTTCTAAAAAGTATGATCTGTTAATTCCCATGATGGCTTCATGGTTTACATTGAGACTTGAGTTAATATGAACTCTCATTCCCACATCGGTTCTCAATAATACACCCAAAACATACTTTAACTCATACTTTTGATAAAATTTTGTTCCTTTTGGTTGAGATAACTTACTAACTCTTTAGTTTTAAAAAAGCACCTTTTTGGAGTAAATGTTTCCCTTTTAGTTCAAAACTCTTTTGGAACTCTTAATTTCTTTTTAACTTAAATGTGAAACATATATATGCCTTTAGGGAATACTTAGTTCCCGTATAGCTTTTGAGAAATGAACTCAACTCTTTCTCTTTACTTAACTTGAAACTTAACTCTTATGGAATAATTCGTCCCTTTATAGCTTTCTAGAATTTAACTTAACTCTTTACTCTTTTCCCATCTTATAACTTGAACCTTAAACCAAACTTAAAATTATTCTTTAAGACTCTTTGAAAACATTAAGAACTTACTTTGACCTGCTTCTTACTTTTAAACTTGACTCCTAACTTCCATGACTTTGATCTTGAACTTTCCTTGAATTGGATTATGGATTAAACGATCATAATCTCATGTTTATTGATGATTTCATGATGTTTAGTTTTACTTTAGAGTGTTGGAATCAACTAGAAATTATAAATACATCACTTAGGAACAAGTACGAAAAGATAGGGGAAGAACAGGGTCTCCATGGGGTCTTGGCGCTCTGAGAGGCGCAGAGCGCTAGAGCCGGATGGACAAGCACTTTCCTCAGGTGCTCTGGCTGGCGCACCGTGCCAGGGCATGAAGGACAGAGTCTGTCTTGAGGCAGTCTAGTAGGTGCGGCGCTTCAGGGCCTATCACATGGGTTTTCCGACTTTTCTTCTTTGATTTTCAATTCTAAACCTCCCAATTTTTCATGGATCCCACCCCAAGAACTTAGGATATCTAAATACTTCATTACCCAACAAATTAAACTAGAAAACCGTTCAAAAACATGAATCAAATCTACTTGGGATACACTACAATTCAACCAACAAGAATTTTACAAATTTTTTTAAGAACTCTCATATTCATCATTCCATATACTCTAACTTGTTGAATTAAAAGAAGTTGGGTGTGGATTGAAAGGACCCAACACCGAATACAATCACATACCTCGATAGGGATTACCCCTGATGAAATCCACGGAACGATCTTCGCATTCTTGGACAATTATTGATCTTCTCTCTTCTTTTCTATTTTCTACGGAACGATCTTGGCATTCTTGGACAATTATTGATCTTCTCTCTTCTTTTCTATTTTCTCACAAGCTCTAGTGTTCTTAGTTTTTCTAAAACTGGTTTTGGGCTTGGTTACCCCTAATATAACATAAAACGAATTAGGAAATAAAAGGATGAAAAGATAACTTTACCCTTACTAAAATTAGGATTGAAGTTTTCCTCAACTTAACATCTCAACTTCCGAAAGGCATATCTCCTTTATATAACATCGGATTTTCTCAAACTTGACGGTGTTGGAAAGATCTTCCCATGATATCTCCAACCATTTAAAGAACTCATCCAAACTTTTCCTGATCTGGAATTTACGGCCATTTGAAAGTGATCAAAATTCACTTTTGAAAGCTGGAAATTTTCCAGATTTCCCTACTTATTCCCAAAAATTATTAATTTTTGTTTGTTAGCTTATTATTAGTTACATCAATAGGTCCACAACCTTCATAGGTAATAATTATTTCTTTTGTTTTTCATTACTGTAGTTCACAATAAAGATACCATAATATTTATGATGTATAAACGTAGAATACCATTAACCATTTCCGTCAAATAAAATTTATTATTCGTCTGAAACCTCCCGTAGAGGTTACTTGTGACATATTTCTAATCATACATGAATATTTTCTTATTTATATTTTGACACATTCTCTTTCAAAATGATTGAACATTCATCATATATATCACAAGTCACAATATCTTCATAAGTTGACCATAATCATTTATACATGTCATATCTTTATATTTAAAATATTTACATAACCTACCTCAACATCACTTTGAAATACAAAGAGCACCATCACTTAACAATTTTTCTTTTGATAGAGGATTTATAAATTGATCAAATATTAAGTCGAAACCAACCACGGGTTCAACAACCTTTCAAACCATTTTGATGATAAAAATTAGCTTCATATTTTGAAGGAATATTTGGAGAACTAATAGTGTTCTTTCTTTTATAGTTATCGCATTATGAATATTATAATTTCGTCCCTCTGCGCCCCTATTCATATCATTAACTATTTGTCATCTTTCAGACTAATCATTCATTGCTACCACATTCATATGATTGAAAGAGAAAGTTAACATGCAGATTTCAAAGTTATCATATGTTTCTACCATATTCTTTTCAAGGAATCAAGCAAATTCAATAGGATGACTTTCATGGATTTTCATCAAATTTTTAGTCATCATTATATCACCACCATGGTGCATTGACTCAAAACTCAATGTCTTATCAATTTAAGGTATGTTAGGCCATAATTCTATCGAACCCAATACATTATCATCATAGTTCATCAAAAGTCAAAACTTAAATTGATGTCTTATTCTCTTGGTGTGATAGAACATGAATCTATTGTATTATCCTCAAATATTAAATACATCCGGACTTTAACCTGATTTCTTACCCTTTTGATGTGATGTGATTTGAATTCATTGTCTTATTCTTCAACCAATCTAATATAAATATAACTCAAACATGAGCCTTTAATATTATTATAATTTTATTGTTGTATATAAATAAGTGACTTAAATTTAAACAATACATGAAAGAATTTTTTTTCTTGAATTTCACAAGTTTGTTCCACCCCCACCCCTCCGAAATTTGCAGATGAGTATAGATGTATCTAATCATGCATAGTAATATAATTTCTTATCGGCGATTCATCTGCAAGATTAAACTAACTCTGTGAATAATGTAAAACTTAGTATGTAAAAAAATGTACCTTTTTACTTCATCATCTTGATAAAACAACACATAGCACATGTCAAGATTTAGAGTAACATCATATTTATTGATTTCCTTTTTCTTTGTTTTTGTTGGATTTACTTGACCAACAACTATTTTCTCGTTCTTTTGATCTTCATCATCAAATCGTTGGTATAAAACTCAACTTGGATGATATTGTGAACAAAATTGAAACTAGAGACAATTTGTTCTGATAATGTTTTATAAAATCAAGCTCATAATATAATAGAAAAAGAAGAAGACAAAAGAAGTAAGATCGAAGAGAGAATTTTCTTCTATTCCAGTGTGTCTTACATGAAAATAATATCTCTATCCAAATGAAGAGAAACCACTTTAAAAGCCACATTGATGAATGTCATAATATATACATCATTATCCGAAAAGGATTCATAGCACCTTGGGAACACATATGCATGAATGTTTGTTGATGAATAACTAAATGGACAATCTACTTATTTAATGAATTTATAACATAAATATTTATTTTTTCATTATAAATGAATATCAAACATTGAATCCTGCGAAATGAAATATTTTGTAAAATATTATCTTTGAATATAGAAAGTTGAATGATAACTTGAATGCAAAAATGTATGAAAAGTTAATAATTTGAATTTATATTCCTCAAAATAAGATAACAAAAAACAATTTATGCATAAATGAAGAAATAATATCATGACTTCTTTCATGAATGGAATAATTTATTATTGGATCTTATAGAATCTCCAAGAGAGTAGGTAGTGTGGCTTATAAGTTGGAGCTACCCCAAGAGTTATGAGCGGTTCATCCCGCATTTCGTATTTCCATGTTGAATAAGTTATGTTATAAAGATGTTCGGGATCAGATTTTGGATCATCAAGTTTGCAAGTTGAGGACAAAGAAAGTTGCTTCAATCAAAATTCTTTGGAGGAACCAATTTGTTTAGGAAGCGACTTGGGAAGTTGAGGAGGATATGAAGAAGAAATATCCACATCTCTTTCAATCCAGAGAGAATACAAATCAAGGTATTAAATTCTCTTCCTATCACTTTACTAGACTATGTATATGCATGTTATTACTTGTTTTTGTTTGTTGAGTGTTGAGATGATGTTACTAACCTTAACTTAGTGAAAGATTTATCATTCGAGGATGAATGTTTCCAATGTAGAGATATTGTAACATCTCGTAACTCTAATTAACTAGAAATAAGCTATGAAAGAAAGAATAATCAATTTTGGGAATAAGAAGAGAAATCTGGAAAATTTTCAGCTTTCAAAAGTGAGTTTAGGCATTTTCAAATGGACTTAACTTCCATCTCAGGAGGAATTTGGAGGAGTTATTTATATGGATGGAAATAACTTTCCAATGCCGCCCATTTTGCGAAAATCCAATGTCGTATGAGGGAGATATGCTTTTCAAAAGTTAGGTTGTTGAGCTGGGGAAAAAGCAATACGGATTAGAGTAAGGGTAAAGTTGACATTTCAACCTAGTATTTCCTACTTCTTTTTAGGTTATATTAGGAGTAAAACCAAGTCCTAAATCAGTTTTTGAAAAACTAAAAATGCTTAGGATTAGGGAGAAAAGAGAAAAGAAGAGGAAGATCAAGAATTTTCCAAGAACGCCAAGTCATTGCATGGATTTTGTCAGGGATGATCCCTATCAAGGTATGTGAGATCATTGTGTGGTGGATGCTTTCATCCACACCCAATTTTATTCAATTCATCAAGTTAGAGTTTATTGTATGAAGAACATGGAAGTTATTGACGAAAAATTGTGAAATTCTTGTTGGTTGAATTGTAGTTTATTTCTAGTAAAGTTGATTCATGTTTCTGGACAGTTTTTTGGTCTAATCTATTGGGTAATGAGGTATTTAGTGATCCTAACTATTTGGGGGTGTATCCATGCAAGTATGGGAGGTTTAGAATTTAAAATCGAAGAAGAGAAGTCAAGAAACTCGTCTGATAGGCCCCGAGGCGCCGCTCTTGCCAGATCCCCTCAGGGAAGGATCTGTCTGATAGGCTCTGGCACGGCGCGCCAGCCAGAGCGCCTCAGACCAGAGTCTGTCTGGCATGCTCTGGCGCTCCGCGCCTCTCAGAGAGCCAAGACCACCTGTAGACCCCGTTCTTTCCCTATTTTTTCGTACTAGTTCATAATGATGTACCTAACTCTCCTAGTTTATTTCAACACTCTAAAGTACATCTAAACGTCATGAAATCATCTATAAACATCAGATCATGATCCTTGAATCCATAATTCAATTCAGGGGAAGTTAAGACAAAGGTCAAAGAAGTTAAGAGTCAAGTTTAAAAGTTTAGAAGCATGTCAAAGTGAGTTCTTAAAGGTTCATAAAATACTTAAACAAACATTTTAACTTTGCTTTAAGGTTAAAAAAAGAGTTGACCAAAGAGTAAAAGAGTTGAATTATGTTCTCAAAAGCTATAAGGGAACTAAGTATTCCTTAAGAGTTAAGTTTCAAGTTAAGTAAAGAGTAAGAGCTAAGTTCATTTCTCATATGTTTTAATGGAACTAAGATCTCCTTAAAAATTTATAAATGTTTTCACATTTAAGCTGAAGAGGAACTAAGATTTTCAAAAAGAGTTTTGATAAATAAAAAGGGGAACATTGATTCCAAGAGGACTTTTTAAAGATAAAAAGGGTTGAGCAAATTATTTCAACCCAAGAGGAAACAGGATATTTTAAAAGCATGAGCTAAAGTATATTTTGGGAGTAGTGTTGAGCATCAATGTGGGGACGAGAGTTCAATAGTAAATCAAAGACTCCATGTAAATCATGTAGACATCATGTGTATTTATGGGTCGTACTTTTTAGATGATCACATGAGGTTAGCTAGTGAATCCACTGGGTTGAGGATGTTCTATGCGACTGCAAAGTATAGAACAGTACTGGCAGTGTGGGCGAGACGATGTATCACCTTTAAGGCTCATAGTGGTGGTTGTCGGTTATAGAAACTCCAGAGAACTATATTACCTTTATATATAAGTTAAGTAGAGTTTGTTATTGCATTTTTTTAATGAACTAAGTTGTTTTATGGTTTTACAAGCTTTATATGTATCGCATGCGTTTTAAATTGCTTATATACATACTTTGAGTTTAGCATATTCTTAGGTTGAGTAGAGTCATGATAAGTTCATCTTATTGCCTGAAGATTAAGTCATTTTTTAGCATTCCAACTCGCATACTCGTACATTCAATGTATTGAAGCCAGTTGGCTTGCATCATTTTATGATGCAAAGATAAGTAACCAGGATTAGCACACAGCACCTTGTTGATCCAGTTTGAGCTCCAGAGTCAGTGGTGAGCCTCCTTGCATTTCGGAGGACAACTTTTTCATATGATGTATGAGTTTATCTCATTAGGATGTTGTGGGGTCTGTTCAAACATCTACCTTAGTCAGTTTAGAGGCTTAATAGTTAGTTAGTAGTTCAGTTTTAGAGTCTCCTTTACTTTATAATTTCATATGTTCAAATGTTGAGACTCAAGTGTCAGTTTGGCCAAGACAGTTATCGAAGTTATTTTAGGAGAATAATTTAATTCTTTAGCTGAGATGAGTATAGTCTTCTGCTGAGTTATATAAGTCAGGACAAGGTTTCACTCAAATACTTTATCCCTAAATACTTCACAGTCTTGTATGTCTCTTGATGTTATTCACTGCAATATCAATGATATTTATATATAGTAAATATAGGAATAATTCAATTATATAAAGGAATTTGTAAAGTCAACTGTTAGATAAGTACAAACAATGATACAAATTCATGGAAATATTAATAATTTTTTTAGAAGAACGTGAATCCTTTTTATACATAGATCATATTAATATGTTTGACAGTTTTAAAATAACGTTTGATACTCCTAGAAAAGCTCTGTAATTATTTTATTGGTCATTGAAATATTTTGGTTATGTGATAATTTAATTTTATAAATATAAGTTATTAAATGAGTATTGTTAAATGTTAATCAAGTTAAGAATAAAGTGGTAATTTAATTTTTGAGAGACATTTAATTGCTCTCTAATATTGAACTAATTAGAAATTTATAATAATTATTTTAGTGTAGTAACAAAATGGTAATTTAACTTCTCAATTTGCATCTTCCCACTTATAATAATACTAATAATCTTAGTTATGTGTGTTGCACGTATATTCCTATTAATTATATTTTAATGCAAAAGATAATAAATCTTATATTTTAATGTACTTATATTTATGGAGTTGAATATAAAGTAAGCTAGTTTTGATACTATAAATAATAGCTACTTCAGATTAAATATGTATACATGTTAGTGTATGATGTAAAGAATAAAATATTTCTTTAAAATATGAGTTTTATAATAGATTTGAGAATAATAAGTTACATGTAAATGCTTCCTTGTCCATTTCAATATGTTGATTTTGAAAGGCCCTACACCCATGACTATTTTCTCTCCAATTACAATTAATTAATCTATAACCACAAGCTTCAAAAGTCAAACCCCAACCATTCATTGAAGTTGCTCTTTCATGTAATCTTCCTATGGTAGTCTGTGTTTTATTTTGCTTGTCATACTTCCTATAATAGTTCATGGTTACTGATGATATAATATATATGATTTAGTATAATATACACTTCATAGACATACCATAGTGGATTTATAATTTGCACCTAAACTTTATATATTTTAAACTTTGGTTAGCAGTTAGCAAATTTTAACTTACAAGATGAGGATCAAGATATTCTTAAAAGATAACAGAACATCATCCCTCTATAAATTCTTTTGTTAGTTATTTCTCATCATCATCAGAGAAAAAATTGAACATTGGAGGATAAATGATGAGAATGATAATTGATGGAAAAACTCAAGATTGTTAATGAGATGCAATCACCTTAGTGAAACCCAAAGATGATATGTTAATTGAACCTACCATTAATATAATTCTATAAATACTTCAACTTTATATAAAAAGGGAAGAGTAATCATTCTTTCATATCCATTCTTAAAGATGATATACAAATACAATGAACAAAAAAAAAACACTTAAGCAATGCAATTAATTGTTTTTTTGCGACCTTGTCTTGATAATGAAAATTATAACAAAATTTAATGAAAAAATCACTCGTTTTTTAACATAAAAAATTCCTAAACTATAAGCAATTATAAACAAATCGACAAATAAACTATATAAGTTGAGATAAAGACTATGTTTCAGTAATTGAATTCTTATCTACCTCATGTTTGCATAACGGAGATTTCATAACTTTCCCCAAAAATCATGACATTATTTCACAAATTAAGAGCTCCTAAGAAACTATTCCGAAAGATTTGAATTTTTATGACAAAAATTATAGTATGTGAAAAGTCACATAAAGATTTGAAAGGTCAAATCATAAACAATAACTTTGTAAGATACATATATCTAACTTTAATTTCTTCCTTTTTATATTTTGTTTAGTTAGGTTTATAACGATTTTAGCTAATAAGTAAATACGTTTATAATAAATAATCACTTTGAAATAAATTTATTTTATCATTTTAGTGATATAATAATATTTTTATTATATTTCAATATGAATAAAAAATTATAATAGAATGTGTATAGTCAAGAGTTAGATAATTAAGTGCAAATCATTATATAAATGGATGAGAATATCAATACTTTTTCTTGGATAACGTGACAAAACTAATACATGAATCATATTAAATTGCTAGTAACTTTCACAATAACCTTTGAAATTCCTAAAAAGGATCTGTCATTACTTTTTTTGTGCCTTGAAACATTAATGATTGCGTAATTATTTAGTTTCAAAGCGTAAGATATTAGAGGAACAATGTTAATTTGGTGAATGGAAAATGGTCATTTAATTTTTTTAGAAACATTTAAATTTTAGTTGATTAGTTTTTATTATAAAAATATTTTAGTATATATATGTGTGTATGTGTGCGATAAAATTAAATATACATAAAAATTCAATATGATAAATATTATTAAATTAGATATTTTAGTTAGGAATTGATCTATGAAAGTGCAAAAGTCATTAACATTTTTATTAAAACGATACAATTTAATATAATTAGGAATCAATATAAGAAAGTGCAAAATTCAATAATATTTTGATTAAAATAATAAAATTTAATATTTAAATTAAATAATTAAATATTTTTAGTAACAATTTAATTCATAGTAAGGGTACAACCCTAATTAAACTTTTAATTCTTTTGTGGTTGTGTGCGCGCGCGTGCACGAGTGAGTGTTTTTGTGTGTGTGCGTGTGCCGTGCACATGGGTGTGTGGCTATAAGTGTGTGATGTTTTTATACTGTCGGAGTTAAAGAAGCTTAATAATTAAGTGGATACATAAGTTACTTTTATATCAATGGACTATGGTTATCTCTTTGCCTTTAACCTCTTTTAAAATAAGTTCAAGTCCAATACAATACTACATCAACACAATATATACCAGCCGACCGGACCCGACGCCAACCTAATACTCTTCTTCTTCACAGGACAGAACAGCGTAGCAACTACAAACCCAGAAAAAGCGAGTCTTAATTCCCTAATTAGAAAATTTAATTTACTTTTTCTCCCTCGTATTTGTACGTTTACGCATGCCTTACACGAGTTCGGTACAGCTGGAGGTTTCCAAGACTTTCCCAACAACTTTATCCTCTCAATTTTCCTTTCTTTTTGAAAATTTTCGTTTAAAATGGTACGAATTCGTACACTTACCTTATCTACTGAGGAATTTTGAACTTTTGCATTAGTCCCACATCGGTTTCGCCCACTATTTCAACATAAAAGTTTCCTATATAATCCCTTCTCTCTTAAGTGTTCAGGGGAAGTTTTGGGTCTTGAGAGTAGTACCGTATATAAGGTTTGGGAATTCTCAGTTCAAATACTTTAAAGTTTTGGTGGTTGTTCGAGTGAAAGAAGTGGAGTCATCTTCTCAACCCGTTGTTTCAGTTTACTGCCCAGAACCAGGTAACACTTAGTTTTATATTTACTGTTTGTTCTTAATGTGATGTTCTGTTTTGTGTTTAGTTCATTTATATCTTTATGTGATGTTCCAGGTTCTATTTAGTTCACTTTTAGCAATTATGTATGCCTAATCTAGTTAACTAAATAAAAGTGTATAGATTTAACTTCAATTTTTAGCACTCTTTGTGAGTTTTAGATGTTGTCTCTTGCTTTAACCTCAATACTCATGAATGAAGGCTTGTGTTAGCTTAACATCTTATGAATTAGGTGGTGTTTAATTAGTTACATCAGGTTGTGTTGTTTAATCTCTTTACTCTCTTTTCCGTTTTAAGGAATAGACTCCTCGATATTCAATGTTAAATCAATCGCGTTGAATATTTCATCTACTGTTAATATGGTCATAATTTTTGTGTGATTCTATTAAGCTCCCTTAAATTGTTTCTGTTAGTTCCCTCTCTCTTTGTTGCCACCTTATTTCATTCTATCGCTAGTAGATATTGCATTGACAAATAGGTTGAAGCTAGTTGCTGGTTTGCCTTTTTACTGCCTTTAAGATGCTCTTGTTGATATTTTAATATAAAAACGTCTTTAGTTCCTACCTGAGCTTCTTTAATGCATACTTGTGCATCCCTTTGCAATATTACTCACATGTTTTTCTTCTCATACTTTAGCATTTTGTTGCTCTAAGTTGTTGGTTGCTTTCCTTTTTGTTAGATTTTGACTTAAATGATTTATAATAGACATGTCGTTTTAATATTCGATATTATAATTTCTTTGTTGTTTCAGATGGGTAATCTCACAAATTTCTTTCTTTTTGTTAAGTCTGTCGTTCTATACGATCTATACTTGCTTTGTATAGTTTCTGCTCTGTGTTAATTTAAGTTTTAAATGCTTAGTTTTAGTTATGTGTTATGGACAACAGTTCATTAGTTTGAAAACCTTAAATATGTAAACTGGAAAATTAGATTTAAAATTAAGGTTTTATTATTTTATTTCTTGTTTTAACAATTTCTTAATAACCTATGATTTGCTCTTAATACTTTTAGTTTTCTTAATTGAATCGGAAATGGATAAGAAACCTCTTGTTATGATTTTGAATAAGGAACTTGCCAATACATCATTATTTGAGCGACATATGGTATTTCATTGAAATCGAAGAGATGTTTTTATATTTTAATAAACTTATAAAGTACATAACTAATTATATAAGATTTATAATACTTAGATTTGGTATGTAGAGGCCTTGAATTGGAGAAAAACTCTCGTAGTTGATGAATAAAATGTTTGAACCATTATCTGTAAATACAAATATAGGCAATGAAATAATGACATATCTTTTCGAAAGACATTGGTGATGAACAACTAATGTAAAATGAAGAATTAATAACAAATTCCATAAACACTTAAAATCAAATCGTTTTCGTTTTTAAGATTTTAAAAAAAAATCATATTTTCTTTGAATAAAATATTCTTGAAAATTTATTATAGGGTTGTACCCTCTCGAAAAAACTTATAATATCAAATGTTCAGAAGAAGATTAATTACATAGTTCCACCATCGCGCCCGCCTATGTGGCTCCACCACACATAAGAACTCCCTAGAAATTTATTTATTTTCAAAACTAGTCTTCTCCTTTTCATGAAAATTTTTACTTTTGATCAAAATTTACGACTTTAACGAAGAATTATGACTTTGATGAAAAATTGTGACTTTTATGAAATGTTGGGAGTTTAATAAAGAATTGATTCTTTTGTTACAAGTTGCGACTTTTATTAAAAGTTGCGACTTTGATGAAGAATGACGACTTTTATGAAAGTTGTGGCCTTTCCAAAGGGTTGTAAATATTTCAAATAGTTGTAACTTTTTTATACGGCACAATAAAAATTTTTACACTACCCTTTATTGTCTATAAGTAGAGGGATTTCCTCTTATTTCAAAACAACAAAAGTTCTAAATCCCCTCTTCTTTTTTTTCTCCTTCTCCTTCTCCTTCACAATTAAATAATATACTTTGCTCCTTTTGAGAGTCTCACTTACACCATTGCTTATGTTACAAATCATTGTATCTATTTTTACAATCATTAATTTATTGTTATGTTATAAAGTGTAAATGATTTATGCAATAATTTTTATTTTCCTATACATTATTAATGTTTGTTACTAAGTAATCTTGTATGTAAGATAATATAGTGTTTTAATTATAATACCGGATATGTTTTAAGGAATACTTTATAAATTGCATGATACAAAATTTCTTCGCGAAACACAGGTAATTTTACAAGTTTAACATTTAAATAAGAAGCATAAATAAAATTATGAAACTCTTTTAGAAAAATTTGTTGAATTATGATAACTTCAGTCAAAATTCACATCCAATTTTAACTCATAAATTGATCCAATTCATGACGCATAAAAGAAATCCAAAACCTAGCCCAATTTATCCTCATAAACTTCGACTCTCGTTATTTTTAAGCAGGTGACCCAATATTACTTTTTTTAATTCCTAATTTATTTTTATTTTCTCCAATCGCTGCCCAACTATCCTATTTCTCTCCCTTTTAGCCAAAAGCGCGAACAACTCTTCGATTCAGTTCGCTTGTTCTAGTCATTTCTGAATTTACTTTTTCATTTTCTTCTTGTTTTTCTCAATTATCCATTTACTATGAAATTTTGAATGAATCTACTTAAATTTGAGAGGATGTTTCCTCAACAATCGTCCAGAAAAGGAATGAAGATGAAGATATCACAAAATATGATTGAAATTATTTAAATACCTTTTAAATGGGATAAAATTTAATCAATGAATGTTGAATGATTTGATTTTTCTTTGTATGATTTATTTTAACAATATTTTTTTAATTGTTATTGAAAAGGAAAATGAGAAAGGAGATTACACTGTGGGGAATTGAACTCTCACCAACAAGTTTTCAGGTAGTCAATCAACTTAACTACTAAAATTCCCCTTAAAACCGTATATTTAGTATTTTCCCATTTTATATGTCTTCACTTTCTTATTTTTTTTATCAAGCTTTGTGTTTGATATAAATTCTAAGATTCTTGTTTTAAAATTCCTACTTATACACAAATCATAAATTCACAAAGTTATTGAGTTGATATTTTATTAGTGTAACATTTACAATGAAAAAAATAACAATGTGTATCTCTTTTCTATCTACCTTTTTTAACTAACCATTTATCAGCTTCTACTAATACGAAAAAAGAGAATAAATTATAAAATCATGCTTCGGTAAAGTCAATCATCCTTAGAATTGAGTGCTTTAGTTGACTCTAATTTCTTCTCTCGAGCATCTCTCCATATCGGATACAAACAAAAATTGCCATCATTCTTCTCTCTCTCTCTCTCTCTATATATATATATAGAGAGAGAGATCCTACTTCTAGTCTAACCTACTTCCAGTCTAACCTACAACAATGTCTAGTTAATCAAAGGTTGTGATTGATTATTGTAATGTGGAACAAGCCATGAAATGTAACCTCAAGCCATTGCAATGTGGAACAAGCCATTAACTGGCTCTTGGGAATATCCTGATTATTAGAAAGATCCAAACAATTTTTTTCAAGAGAGAGGTTCTAATCCATGAATGTGACGTAGAAAATGTTGGTTCAGTTCTTAGTGAGTCATATAGATGGTGATGACTAACTAGCATAAGAAGATGAGGAAAACTGTCAATACTCAATGTTGTGATTTTTTTTAATACCTTGGGAATAGTACATCAAAAATTCAGTTGAAGTTATATATAAATTCTTATCTAGTCAAGGAAGTACCATTATAGTTAGAAATCCAAATAAATATCAAAATGTTATTTAGAATAGAAGACAAAAGAAAACATAATAAAGAAAATTTAGCAAGGAAAAATGCAATTAATGTGTTTAGCCAAAATAATATTTTTGAAATTTAATTAAAGTATTAATAAATGTTAACCATGGTAGTAGTTTAACCTCTACTGAAACCCTCCTCCAACTATTAAAGTTGAAAATAAAGGTCTAGGCCAAACATGAAAAAAACACTTCACATTTAAGATGAAATTAAAGACTTTTCTCCATTTTTTTCTCTCTGTTTGAAACTTAATACAAAAACTGCAGATCTGCTCCGGTTTGATCAACACTCAGAATAATTAGAAGCCAAAACAAGGTTTTCGAATTTCCACCCTAAAAAATAACCTTCTTTTACTTCTAGCAATTCAGAGTGTTGATCAAACCTGAGAGAAATCTGTAGTTTTTATGCATAAAGTTTCAAAAAGAGAGAAAATGCTTTTATTTCTTCCTAAATGTGAAGTGTTTTTTTATTTGTTGATCAAGCCCTTTAGTATCACCGTTTATAGTTGGAGGATTGGTTTAGTAGAAATTAAAATCTTACCATGGTTAACATTTAATAATACGCAAATTAATATTTGCAAAACATTTTTTTGTTTGTACATATTAATTGTAATTTTCCTTGCTAAATTTTCTTCATTATGTTTTCTTTTCTGTTAATTCAATTACATTTTGAGATGTCACGACCCAAAAATGGGCGTGATGGCACTCGTCTTATCCCACCAAGACAAGTAAGCCTAAAACTCAACTATTACAATAAAAATGCGGAAAATTTACTATCAACTTATATTATACCCCAAAACCTGGTTGTCACGTGTACAAGCCTCTAAAGTATTACAATCGGATCAAAAGAAAATATAAGTCTCATATGATATTGTTTCTAGAGTAGAACAAAATCATAAACAAGGGTAAGTAGGGATGCTGAGATGACCAACAACTACCTCACAAAATCTCTAGGAAGCCTCGGAAAAGAAGAGAATATATCATAAAAGTACGGGCTAGTAACCTACAAAAATTTGTAGAAGCAAGGGGTGAGTACCAAATCACACGGTACTCAGCAAGTAAACCTCTAAACACAAGCTAAGGGGATGAAATACGGGTACTCCTACCACCCCCAACCGAACCTTCGCAACTACAACCTGCATAAACATCAGCCCAACCAAACAACTC